TTCTGAAATAATCGTCGACATATATGTACTTGGAATCAAGATCCCATGTTATAGAGGTCAGAAAGAAAGAGAGAAAGAGAGAGAATGCTGCGAGAGTAAGAGAGACAGAGAGACCGCGTGTGAACTTCTTTTATCTCATTGAGAATTTCCTCGCAGGAGAGTGAATAGATCACCTGTGAGAAGGGGGTCATTTTCACAAAAACGAGGGGAAAGCTCTTGAGCAACGTCGCGCGGACGCGCATCGCCGTAGAGTTCACTTTGGTAAGAATTCCCAAGTTTATCTCGGCTCCATTGTTCGTGCGCGTTACCTCAAAAATAACTTTCATGCGCGACTTCGTGTGAAGTGTCCTAATCGCTGAATATTTGTCCCGCTGAAATTAACCTTAAAAAAAATAAATGTCTTGTCAGAGACAAACGAACGATCGTACGGTTTCTCGATGAAGATGGACGTGCGACGTAGATCTCGAGATTTCACTCTTTCCTTCTGCCACGATTTATCATTGTGATGATTAGACTTGCGTGATCCGCGCGCAAGAAAACTCGCGGGGATAATGATACGTTGACGAGAAGGGAAGAAAGAGTGAAATTCTGTAAACCCACGCGTTGCCCAGAGAACGGACGTAATTTTCATTCAAGTTTCCGTTACAAAGTATAAGGACGTTAGAATAATTTATACCTACGGATTAGCCGTACATTACTCGCTCTAACGGATATACACATACCTACTCGACAACTGGAAAAGAAGAGAGAAGACAAGGCAACCTTAAACGTTTAATTTATTGTCTAAATTATGTCTCATCAAATCAAGATTAATCTCATTAGTAGCTAGTTGTTTCGCTCGTTACATCGCTCTATTAAGGCTGCCGAAAAACCTTTACAGAACAAGCTGAACTTTGAACTAGCAGAAGTCAATTGGACAGGTCGCAATATCGCCAATGATATTATCTTGTTACAATAAAGAAGAATACGAAGTCTGTATCTAGGTATAATCGCGCATTTTCGTAATTTTTCGGAAAAAAAAATAAAATTATTCGTGCGTAATCAACGCCCGTTGACGTACCGCGCGTGATATTAAACGAGTTCCCGAGGAAAGAACTTCGATGATTATGAAATTCCGTTGTAATCGGCAGGGCCTGGATTCGCGTCATTATTCAAGAATTAAAAACAATACGCGCATAGTATAGGTGCGATGGATGGAAATCTACTTGACGGTAGATACACCACGCAGAGAAAGTTAGTCGCGATGCGCACCTTCTTCTTCATCTTTCGCGGCGTCCATCGCTCGCTGTCGCGTCGTCGTCGAGAACGGCTGAAATCGGCGATAACAAGAAAGTAGACGCGAGCTCGCCTATACGCATACTTGGGTGACGATGAACCGGTTTTCTAAACTGGGAGAAAATGGCGAATGCAAATGCGAACGAGTAATTATAATGACGTATAATTTGATATGCCGGATGTCGATCGATTAATCCATACTCGGACGATCTATATTTAGATATTTCGATTTCCGACTGCCTTGGCTGTGCTCTTTCATCGGCCTTCGATCTTACTAGGTATAGCGACCAGGCAGCTTCGAGTTTTCGTTTGACTTGCAGAGCGCGCGAATGAGACTTTTGTTCGCGAGAGAATGCTCGTCGACACGTCGAGAGAGCTCGTATCCGCATAACAGGATATAACGAAAAAGTGACTCGTGTTATTTTATCGTTCGAGCGCGAGGACCGATTCGTTTACAATGCGACCGTGTCGCGCGGATGTACGGCTGCGTTGCTCGAGATTGCGGTAACAAGAAATAATTGCCGAGTGCATTAAGTCTATTAGCCGTCTTTTGCCGTCCAGGAACCGGCGAGTCAGTCAGTCAAGTCTTACATATACTGCCGCGCGTTTAATTAATCGCCTTCTCAATATATTTTGCGAACGTCCCCGCGGCGCACGGTCATTCTCGTGCATCGACCTGGGACTGCGGTCTGCTCAAATAATATTATAGATAGAGGCGAGTTTGAAGACTTCGAGGGGATTACCGATGCCGACGACGAAAGTACAATGATCGTGAAAGCGCGACAGCCGACTTCCTCCGTGACTATTAACAGCGGACAAATAAGCGGCTAGAGCGAATCATCGATTTCTACTGGCGGTCATCCTCTCCTGTTTCTACCTGCTCGCGCATTACGATTGTTGGGATTTCCGGTGCCGGGATATATAAAGAACGGGAAGCGACGCGTTTCCCCTCCACCTGTGTTCCGCATGTAGAGCAAATCGCGTCGATTACGGTGCTGGGACAAAAAACGCGCGACTCGGTCTTAACGACGGCAGCTATACAGGATCATCGTTGAATGGAGCCGGGCAAGTTTTGTAGAATAAGAAATTATATATATTATATATACATATAACGCGCAGCCGGCACTACGTTATGTACGCTAATATTTAATTAAATAAAAAAAAAACCACTTATCGTTAATGTCAAAACTCGAGGAAAGCGAATAGTCTTGGCCGTGAACTTTAGAGATGTTCGTAGTGATAATATTTCTGGATACAGGTATGCGAAAAAGGCTTTCACATATATATATCCGGAATATAATTCTTAAGTCCCTAAATTTTGACGTAAAACAGCGAGGAAGTATAATTTGCATGGAGACGCGGAATGAGACACCGTCGGCTTTCTAATTTATATATCAAATACTAAGAAGCGTCACTTTCACCGGCTGATTGATAAAGTCCGCGGCACAACGTGCAGTTAGAACTCGCGAAGAAGATTCTCTGCGGTCAAAATCGTTTCGGGGGAATTTCGAGGATTGCAGCGGAAACCGAACGCGTCATCGACACTCGGTCTCACACAAGTGAGATGTCGCAACGATGAACATTTTTTCGAAGTGAGACTACGAAGAAAGACCTGCACGATATTGGTCGTCGCCACGTAAATATTAACCTGACGACAGACATCTATCTCAAGATATCTATCTCCACAACAAGATAGGCAGGTCGTTAAATAGCCTGAAGTCTCCTCAGGCTATTTCTATTTCTATCATTGCAGAATAATGAATAATGAATAATATTCAGATGAAAACGCGAGGCTCGTAGATCGAATGGAGATACGTAACTACAAAGTACGTGAATACGAAGAATTATTAAGAAATAAAATAGAGAAAATGTTATTTATCTGATTATTTGTGGAATAATACATATCCGTATTATGCGCTAAATTTTAATCGAGTCGAATTGACGCGTTAGCAGTTCGATCAAGCAATAAAGAATCTAAAAGGCGCGTATACCCGTATCAGACTACGGATTGGGATTGAGATTGGATTGAAATTAATCAGAGAAAACTGATCTCAAGTTTAGTAAACTTTGCTCTGATTGGTCAAATTTCAATCCAATCTTAATCCCAATCCGTAGTCTGATACGGGCATAAAGCACATCTGAAAAAATTGAAGAAATTGTTTTAAAGCTTTCATGACATTTTTCGGATGTTCGTTGCTCGAATGCCTACGTAAAAAAAAAAAGAAAAAAACAGTCTAGAAAGCCTGCGCTGTCACTCCAAATAGATTTAATTGTGCTATATCCGCTATATGCATGACGTTTTCCGCGATGAGAAACATCGGCGCGGCGTGGAACATCGGGTGGGCTCGCGTGTCGCGGTCTGCGGAATTATTTCGCAAACCGCGCCGTTATAAATCAACTCCGGTTTAATGGAGTCTATTATGTAACACGCCAAAATAACACGCGAAACACTTGAGCGCCGCCGGTCGCGGCGCTAATGGAAACACGTTCGCGCGACATCGCACGCAACCGAAGCCCGCGCGCGCGACCATCCGTCCAATCTGCATCGTTAATTATTGGCCACGTAATAACATCTGCGCCGGTGTATCTTATTCCGCGCCATCATCATCTCGGGCCGGCGGACGGGCTCTCGCGGGTGTCGACTCTGTCGCTTAATGTAAGAGAGAGTCAACAAAAAACGCTCGTAGTGCTCGTACGTGATTTAAATGCCGGATTTAAATGTCCCGGGTGTTGCTCGTGTCAACGTTGCCGCTCGTCGCGATGATTTAATTCGGTCGAGCGAATTTCCTCTCCCTCCTCGCGGGCAATTTCGCATCTATGCGGGGCAATAATCAAAAGGATTGCCGGGTTTGCCTAACTTGGATCGCCGTGATGGCAATCAGACCCGAGTTGTCGCAATCGAGAACGATTCCGTTGCATCCCGAGGCTGAAAAAATCGAGCGTCTTTGATTTATAATTTCACCGAATTAACACGCCTGTAAGCATCTTTTTTCGAATATTCAGATAACTATCGCACGTTTTTACCAATAGATTAACTTTAATCTCGGTTTGACTTGCTTTTCATCTTTTTCTAGTTCTAAAAATTGGAAAAAGGTAAAAAAAGTAAGTTAAACTAAGCTGAAAGTTAACCCGCATTGATACAAAATAGACACAAAACGTTCTCGTTCATTGCGTCGCGACGCAATAAATCGTTCAATTAGTTCGCCACGAAACTCGTCTACGTTCCACTGACGTATAAATATCTCACGCGTCAATGCTACATTCCCGTCTGCGAGCCGTCGAGAAAACGCCCGAAAAATTCCCCCAAAAAAGCGGAGGCAGGACGGAAGTTCGTGCCTTCACGTTGATGCCCCTTTGTCGCCGAACGCCCGCGGCGCGGGCGCCAGACACCCTTAAGGCGCCGCGATAATTGCATCAAACCCGGCATTTGTCGCCGCTTCTCCGTGGACCGGGATTCGCGACGCGACGTCGGAATTAAGAGCAAATTTGGGTCAGACGGCGACGCGGAGGGCGGAGGGCGCAGCACGGTAGCCGAGAGCCGAGACGAGAGATTCGAGAGAATCGCGTATACGATCTCTCGCGTTTACGATCACAGGCATGAGGCAGGCAGACCCTGGCGGACACGCTCGCCCGCTCCGACCCGCTACGGCGCGGCACACGGCCTTTCTAAACTCTCGCGGCGTGCGATTTTCGCAGACCCGTCGTCGCGCGGATAGCTCACTTACCTTGAGAGAGATTCCCCGCGTCGAGGAGGTAATATCCACAGACTGTCCGTTCGGCGATCCTCACCGCGCGGAGACGCGGAGCGACGGGGAAGCTATGGCGGGCAGGGCCGGCTGGCTGGCTGGCTCCACCGGGTCCGTGCGCGCTTGTCAAAACCAACTTATCGATCGCACTTAGAATCCCGGCTGGTGCAGGAAGCGCGACGGCGACGACGACGATCTCTCGTCGCACGACGGAACCGGGGGGGATCACTGCCGCTGGCCGTTGCGTTTAGTCGCGGAATCCGAGGCGCACGAGAGATCAGGAACGCTCTCCGTGAGCGCGAGCGCGAAGAAAAGAGAGACAGAGAGAGAGAGAAAGAGAGAAAGAGAGAGAAAGGCAGAGACGGAGAGAGAGAAAGAGACGGGGACGCGGAGAGACGAATCGAGAGAACCGACCGAGCCGGTTTACCGTGAGGAACTGAGCCAAGCGGAGTTGTTTGGTCCGCGGCCGCGACTTCGGCCGTTTACGCCGCCGCTCGGCGCGACTCGTGACCGCTCGGCGTTTACGGCCGGCGGCGGGCGAGCGTAGCCCGCGCTCGGGTCGCCTCGGTTATCTTCGGGCCGCCTCGGCCGCGGCAACCTCGACGAACTTTTGTGCGGGTCGAGGCCGAACGAAGGCGGTGCGGCGCGGGAGAAGAAGCGGGAGGTAGGAGGAGAGAGGAGAGGGCGAGTCTTCCCGCGGCCGGCGGCTTCTTCCCGTTCTTACGGCCGTTACGTACCTCCTCATCCTCGACCTATCTCGTTAACTCCGTAACAATTCGTCACTTTCCGCGCCTCGCTAAATGAAGCCGAACGGCCGTCATTGTTCCCGCGTTCCCGCGACGAACGTGGAAAACCGACGCCGACGGCTGGATCGCCCACGATCGGTCGGCGCGCCGCGGGATTTCGAAGGTTCTTTGTCGAGGAGGATTCCGACGCGCGGTAGCCCGCGCGAAAATATATGGTACGATACCCTTCGTTTATGCATGCATGTACAATGTACAATGTGTAGGTACGCGGAGCGAGGCCGAGAGGATAATCCCGTGTTACGCTCGAGAGTCCCGTGTAAGATCTGAATCGCCTGATAAACGCGTATCCATCATCCGTCGCCGCGACAGTACTGTATTAAAAAAAAAAGATAGAGAAGAAAATGACAGCCGTATCCATATCCTTACTTCGCGATACCGATACGGCTTTGCGCCGCTGGAATTTATTAAAGTGGACGGAATAAACGCGCAGCAACAGTTACATCGTTTCTCTTTTCGATCGGTATTATTGATTAAAAAAGATGGTCATATAAAAGTAACATCGGTTGCCCCTTAAATTAAAAAAATTATTTGATCTTTCGACGCACAAGATAGGTATTTATTTGTAATATTGCATCAAGTGCTATTCTGCTTTTCCCCGCAATTCCCGTGGAATTTCTGCGTCAAAAACAAATAATTCCAGGAAGATATACGTCGTGTTTGCGAACCGCGACGTTCGGCAACGCCGAAATCTTACTCATGTTTTCCGAGCTATATACTACATACGCGGCCCGCGCTTTAAATCAGTAAATCACGACCAGGAAGATGGTCGCCGCCGTTCTCCTTCTCGCCCGTTCTCTCTCTCTCTCCTCCATCTGGGATCCTTTGTTTCAGATCCCTGGCTCTCGTCCTTCCCATAGACGCGAGACACGTGCGTCTCTCCCTTCCTTCGTCGGACTGGAAATGAGAAACGCCGAGGGCGAGGCTCGTTTCGCCGTTCCTTTGGACGAATGGAAAACGGCAAACGCCGAGAATTTCGAAGGAATTCGATCGAGTAATTGAGGTAGGGTCCAGCATGGTTTTTCGAAAATACAAAACAAGGATAGTCGAGCGAGAGAATTCAAAAACGCCGGTAATTTAACTCTTCTATTATCAAGAGTCTGAAGTAATTATCTCAAGTAAATAATTTTTATTGTCGTCTCATATACGTATGTTTTGTTACATCATACACTGTTAAATTCGTAGTGTCAAATTAAACTCAATTTCAATCATTTTTAGTCATTTTTGATGTAAGTCGCCACTGCTTCTACTCAATATGTTGTTGATTTAACTAAACCAATGGAGTTAAAATAATACTGTTTAGAGTTAAAATAATATATTTCGACACACATGGTGACAATTAATTAAAAATAACAAAATGTTATTTAATTCAAGATACATATTGGTTTAGATTTTATCCTTTAATATTTAACAGTAGATATAACATATTTATTATTTCCTATTATATAAGTGTGCTGATAACATGATCTTTTTCATTACATTCGTTATTATTTTGAAGTATAATTTTCTCTCTCTCTTTAACTTGAGAATTTAGTTGCTGAAATATTTTATCTATCATTGCGATCGAAGAACTTTTCTTGATGTAGTCAAAAACAAATAATCTGATGTGTTAACAGCGTGCTAATGGTATTATATTATTTCTCTTGGTAATATTATAATATAATGGTTGAAGTACATAGGCGATGACAATTATACATATTGGTAAAAAGTTTATTTTTAAATTGATTAAATTGAATATGGATAATCATGGTATCTAAATTATCGTTCGCTGAAATGGAATAATGGAATGAAACATTGATGCAAAATAATATATTTAAAGTCACGATGAAAAAAATAGAATTTATTTTAGTCTTCCGAATTATATTCGTCTTCACGTTCTTTTTTATCGTTGAATTACGCTTGTCGGATCGTCGCAGGTTTCGTTCGCGGTTCGACACGTGTCGAATATAATGTATTTGGCATTCCAAGCACCTACGTTCGTCGCACCTTGCATTTTGATTTCGTGAAAAATAGGGTCTGTAACGAGTGCCGGTCTACGGCGGACGCTACGCAGTCCGCATAGCGATTCGCGTTCGCCATTCGCGTGCGTCGCGTTTTCGAAACTGGAACTTTCTACCGATTTCGCGTTTACGCGACGAATTCGCACGACCACCGCGAAAAGTTTCGCTAAATCGGATGGGAAGAGGTCAACGAAAGTGATCTCTCAAAACGGAAGTTTGAGATCGCTTGTATATTCCTATTCCTGTCGCGTTGTCCGACGAAAGCGATACTATACTGTAAAGTGTAAACACATTCTCCGCTTCTCGGCAAGCGGTCGCGGAATCTGCTTATTCACGAAGCGAACAGTCATGGTAGAGCGGATGACCTTACCGCTTTTCACTAAAAAAAGCCCGTGATGTAATTCACGGACGGTGAAGAAAGTGCAGCCGAAAAGTATCTCGGACGCATCGTGCTGTTTTGCCGCGCGTCCTCGCGGTCTTTATGCGCGTCTCTCGCGGAACATTTACTGCGCATTGCGTCCATCACGCGCGGTGAGATCTCCAGCTGGTGGTTTAAATTGCGCAAAAACGAGGGTATTGTGCGGTGTAACGATCGTGCACCGGCGTTTACGAGCACAATGCCGTAATGACGCCTCATGCGCGCTCCCCCTCTCGCCTACTAATCCAAATCTCGAAACGCGACATTCTCGGATGAGTTCCACCTGCGTTGATGTATGCGCGCGGTGGATTAGTCACGCGGCCTCCGAGAGTGTGCGAGTCGAAATAGAACGCTTAGTCAGACGTCACCAGGAACTGCATCGGGGCATCGGGGGAGTCACCGGCCCGCCGCGGCCGCGGCCGCAGCAGCCTTACTTTGTTACGCTTTATATGCCCATTCGGCATTTTGCAGCGATCTACAGCACTGATCTGCACAGGATCTGTTCACGAAGCTCGATTGTATCGAGTATATCTAATTGTTGCAATATTTCAATCAACACCTTTACGGCTTAAACATTTTTTGATAATTGATTTTATCATGTCCAAAGAAAATGCTCGTTCGATATTTTGCAACGATCTACAGCAGTGATTTGCACATATCTGTTTATGAAATTAAAATTGTATAGTATAATCGAAAAAGTTTCAGTCTTATACAGCACTTTTATAATGCAAATATTTTCCGATAATTGGTTATATTAATTTATAATATTTATATATCATGACGAGAAAAATAACAGTGAAAAAGTGTTTCAGCTTTTACAAAATGTTTCGAATGTTATGGCAGTGAAAGAAAATTAGGAAATTGGGGAATTTATATAACATTAATCTCTATAATTTTCAAATTGGAGTTATAATGTTATAGGAAACAGTTTATATATAAACTCTACATTTAATCATTTTGAACAAAATTTTTATTATATATAAATATATTTATTAATCCTTCCATTAAACTTAAGATACTGTTTTATGAGATTAATTAAAATATTATTGAAATTATTAAATATAATTTTAACATCTTGTAAATGCTCGAAAATTGGCCGTTTTAAATTATTCAGCTTTTGCTTAGTCGAGCGAGATTATTTTGTTTATTTGTTAATTAAGATTATGCTGCAATTCATTATTATATGTTTCTTGCAATAGTTTGAGATGTGCGCGTGTTTAGTTGCAAGTTGATGTAATTTCTTCTGAAATAAATTTAATAACAGTTTATTTTTTTAAGAAGATAATTGCGCGCGCGAAGAATGATTAAAAACTTGTAAAGGTACGATACGAGCTTCACGGTTAGTGTTAACGATGTGGTGCCGTAGCGGCAACCGCATGCCACGATGGCTGGCGTGTATGTTAGGAGCTAGTTTCAGATCCTAGATCTTAAAAGGGAAGCGCACCTGGATCGCTCGAGATGTTTATTTGTACCCGCAAAGCGGCTCCGATCGCCCAGCGCCGATCTCGGTGCTCCGATGCACGCTTTAAGCTTCGACCGACTTCATAGCAGCCTATTGCTATAGAGACTTCCAATGCAAATCGCGGAATTCAAAGTCCGAGGATTTAAAGTATCAATTTAGACGACGTACAAAACTGACGCAACGATGTAGAAATGTTTAATCGTAATTACCGATAAATAGTAATGAAACAATAACAAATAATGATGATAGTCGTAATTATCGATAAATATAGTAATAAAATAATAACAAATAATGATGATAGATACATACTTATTATTCAGTTCCACCATTGTTATTCACCGAATGTTTCAACACTTGAATACCATCTCTCGATTCAATATTCGAATCAGACGTAATCGACGAGGCCTTGAATAACGCGTGGGTGGATAGATTATTGACTAAGGAAGTTCCTCGCAATAACGCGAACCTCCTCGGCCACGAACACGTGCGAACATAACATACGTACGTTCGTATGTCCGCTGCTTCGCGCTCGCACGTGTAAAACGCACCTTTACGAGCCACTGTCGCTCGTACGCGTTCAATCGCGTTGATATTCCGCCTTAGAAAACTAGATGCGACGAGCGAGTGCCATGAATTCACGCGTCTTGTAAGCCGGGCGCTATTGTTACGACGATGATTGCACGCGTCCGCTCGCGTGACGCCGGCCATTCGCT